ACGGGCTTTATTTAAAGGTTCTAACGCAGCTCTTCAAAGTATGTGTACCAGGCATGAGAGTGGAAGAGTGGAAATCAACAACCTGTAACATCTGATATCATCTATCTCCATCACAATACTTAGGCTGCTGGACACAGCCTCACGTTTCAAAGTATACCTGGCCATGCTGGTATCTCGGGAAACGTAAACGCTGATGAAGGAGGCTGAAATGAACTTCAATTCAGGAATTCCAAAAGAATATTTTTACAAAAGCTGACGTTTAGGACATCGCAAAAAATATGGCTACCAAGAAAAAGACTTTCGTTGGAATTTGCTACTTCACAATGACAGTTTTCTATGATGTATTGACACAAAACTAAGAGCAGAAGTTTCCCACTCATTCCCTCATCACCTAGAGACGTTACATTGTCGCGTTCGACAAACCATGGCATACACGAGCAGTCAAATGTACCACACAGGATGTATCAGAAGTCTACATCGGGATCAATGTGGCAACAAAGATACAGCGCTGCACACACTACTAGAATGTCCCGCGTATCGCAATGAGAGACTACTACTCAAGCAATAAATGGACATGATCTGCCACGAAAAACTAACGTTGCGCAACGTAATAGGCCCTGTGAGCGGACCTTCATAAGAATCGTCGTTTCATTCTGTCATGGATCAATTGCGTAGCAGGATATTCGCCTTGTCGGAAGGCACTAATTCGATTTACCTGATACCATAATGAAAATATCTTGTTCAGGTTCCCTCGGTCACAACTTTATTTTTCATATCTTTCTTTTCTCTCTACTGAAATCTCTCCGTCCTCTTCCCCGTCCCTATACAGAGTAGCTAGCAAGCAATATACATATGTCGGCAAAAATGTATGTTTTTCAGAATAAAGTCTCTCTCTCTTCTTAAATGCGAATCATTTTATAGCAAGTTCCGGCGCCTCTGAGCTCATCTATCTATCTATCTATCTATCTATCTATCTGTCTATCTATCTATCTACTATCTATCTATCTATCTATCTATCTATCTATCTATCTATCTATCTATCTATCCATCTATCTATCTATCTACTATCTATCTATTCTATCTATCTATCTATCTATCTATCTATCTATCTATCTATCTATCTAGCCGCCTACGACTTTTAGCTCTGCTAGCCATTTCTATTATTGTATCGATACGAAAATTGGTGTGGCTTAACAAGACTGTATGACGAGCGTAAGTGGCTAGCCATGACCTGAAAATGATGACATGCATGTCATGATTTGTATGATTTCCATTTCGTGTTCATGCTGCTCTTGCAGTGGTTTCATTCGCACGACATATACAAGAACTCGTATAGTATGTCATGGCTGCATATCGATCGTAAGTGATAGGCTCTAACGTGTCAATCATGACATGCGTGTCATGTAAAAACATGACTTCAAAACATGACGCTCATGATGCGCTCGCGGCCATTTCGATAGCTTCACATATAACGAACTTGGCATTACGGGACGTGAATGAATGACGAAGGTATAAGACTGGTGTACACATAATAATCATTAGATGATTGTCATGTCAAAACATGACTAAATGCCACGCTTATGATTTGCTCGTGGCCATTTCACTAGCTTCACATATACCAAGTTTGGTATCACGTGACATGAATAGACGGCGAAGGTAAATGACCTGTCCAAACATGATAATCATGATATGCGGGTATTGCAAAACATGAATAGCTGCTACGCTCATAGCATGCTCGTGGCCGTTTCACTAGCTCCAAATATAATAAATTTGATACCACGTGACGTGAATAAACGACGAAGGTTAATGACAATTCGAAACATGATAATAATTACTTGCTTTCATGGAAAATACGACTACCTTTTACGCTCATAGCGTGCTCGTGGCCGTTTCAGTAGCTCCCCATACACCAAGTTTGGTGTCACGTGACGTGAATAGACGCCGAAAGTCAATGACACGTCCAAACATGATAATCATAGCACGAAAGTCATGTATAACATAACTTACGTCCACCTCGTAGCGTTGTGCTGAGTTTAAAGTGACATATCAACCTTCTTGCATGCTTCGCATATAATCGATTCCCACTGTACCTGGGGTCTGCCAATTTTTTCAAACAAGAGACTCGCTAGCAGTTGCTGCCTGCATCAGCGTTGCGAAGAGAGAACGGGGGGGAGGGGGCTTCGGACAGGAGAGACGGTTAGAGTACGCGCAAGCGCAATGGGGAGTAAACTCCGGGTCTGGCTCAGCCAATTTTAAGCCTACAGGTTGTGTCGCCCGCGATCGCCGACGCCGGCGTGGCTGTCACTGATTGGCCTGCCGTGCGCGGTCTCCTGGTTCCGTGTAGCACTCGCAGATCGGTGCCCCGTCCTTGGACACCTTCGACTGTGTCGCGTAATCTTTCCTATGCTTTATTTCAGTCACAGCGAGTGCTCTCCCTCTTTTATCTTTCTATTGTTCTTTTCATCTCCTTTTCCGCTCCCCTACAAGAGCAATTTATGTGGCCTGATTAGGCAGACAAAAATTAGCTCAATTTCTCTTTCCTTCAAGAACTACTCATTTTTAAATGTCATGGGGAGGAATGCAAGGGGAGAAAGAGGGGGGAGCAAGCGTAGGCTAGCAGACGCAGCCTGCGTCGGCGGTGTGAGGCGGGAGAGGGGGCAAAGTATAAAGAGGTTGAGGAGACGCGCATGCGCATTTGGAGAGTAGACGCTGCAGGACTGAGGGACACAACCCCCGGCAAAGCGTGCGTTGCATCTTACATTGACAGTTGGTAGAGCGTGTAGAAAAGGTACCTAAGCATAGTAACAGCAAAATTCGATTACTCTGACGATCATACTCGGCGACTACTTTTCTTGGCACTGAAGAGAAAGCTATGGGGCGGGAGCTCCTCCACATGTAGCAGCACTACGCGAAGTTCATTTTGATGCACGTGTCGTAACGCTGTGGAAAGTCACAGGAATTCACCATCAGGGTTTCATGCAGACGCAGCCGCTTCTTAAGATAGAGTTGCACGTAAAGAAGTGAGACAATGTAGTGTGTTCTAAAACACGATGTCACAACAAATAAATTAAAAGAAATATGAATACATTACTGGTGTGAGCTGGATTCACTCTCAAATAGCTCCACATAGAAAATAAAGAAGGGACATCTATATCTCATGTCTAAGATATCGGCGCTGTTGCAGAAATACATTCACTGGCAGTAGGCTGCACGTATTTTGGCTCTGTCCCCTTCACTTCAATGCCAAGAAACGTTGTTGCCGAACATAATTTTGTTGCTCCTAGGTTGTTCCTAAGCCTTATTTAGGGGACAAAAGTTCTGCGTTTTTTTCAGGCAGTCGCTGGCTTCATCCAAGTTAGGCTAGATCCCATCCAGTATATAAAAAACGTCGGTCCCGTCTACACCGATTCTCAGTACCTAAAGGTTGGATGTTCAGGCCACAGAGATGTACAGAAATCACATAGATGTACAAACGGTAAAAAGAGATTGTGAGACTTCGAACAAGCGGTCGCACAACTCATAGAATATTGTTTTTTTTTCATTCACAAGTGTTATACTCAGTTCAGAGTCTGCAACAGCTCTGCCTACAGCCTGCCATTGGAAATCCCTGCCAGGCTATGTTCGCCGAGCTGCTGCGGACACCCGACTAAATCTGTCTAATATATCGTTCCGGTTGTTGGAGGTCTTCGGTTTGGTGCCATCGCTTCCCAGCCTTCCTTAATGCCTTCTTTTTTTTATTGGTCAAGCGGTAAGTACCAACCTGATCACCACACAGCTAGACCTGTCTTTCCGAGTTTATGACTATATTTCGAATTGTAGATCTGCATGCGGATATTCGAAGTCTCGGGAAAGTAATTCAACGTCCACGTTTCACAGTTCCTAGAATTCAACGTCTGCGGCGTGGTTTCGCAGTGATCTCACATTGCGCAAGCCACCATAAAGTGGTCGTGCCTAATCCCGCCCAACACGGCCACCAAGCTCGGCTTGTTTATCCACATAATCATGAATAATAGCGTGATGTTTGCTTCCCAAATTGACAGAAAAAATATGAATTATGGCATACTGGGTACCACACAAGCGTACTTGTATTAGTGGCCTCAAGACAGCTTACAACTCGTTATTGACATGCCATTCATTAGCTTTCACTGGAAATGTGCAGCGCTTGCTATGTAGGCTTGGAATTTTCATATTTCTTTCATTGTTATTTTTATATTTATGTCTTCATAAATCTTCTGTCTGCTTCCTGTAGTCCTTACTAGTAAGCCTATATCTCGTCCTCCGTCCTCGCTTCCTTAACCGTGACGTCACTCCTCTTCACTCTCGCTCTTTTGAACCCTTGCTATGCTATTCTGTACAAGGTTGTGTTTTCACAGCCTCCTTTATCTCCTGCTTTCTCTCCTTCTCACTATAACATCAGTGATAATTCACTTGCTAAACTATACACTACAAAAATATGGTATCATTTACACTCTAATCTTGAACACACATTTTCAATCAAAATAGCCCCCTAATAAACGGACCAAGTTCCAAGCATATATTAGCACCAAATACTTACTAATTTTGCCTTTGTCGTGCTTGTGTTTCACAGTGAGAACTCACAGCGCAACTAGTCATGTGTTCAAGCATTAAGAGTTAAAAAGATGCACATACAGACAAAATCGCAGGCTTGCAAAAGTATCACAAGAGCTGCCACACCGCCACCCTGCAGGTATTCGCAAACATTGTTCAGGTATTCGCAAGGACTTGCACAAAGACAATTAGAAAGAAACTGAACAACAAAAACGTAAGAGAAATAATAGCTGAAGCAAGTCAAAAGATATTCTAAACTTTCAGGAGCTAAACAATGCTTAAAACAGAATGAATATACAAATGTGGGGATCTATCTGTATAGCACAAAAAACCACGTACATTTCCTGCTTACTAGTTTTTGCACATTTATTGCGTTTACATACCTCGTTTGCAAGTTATAAAACTTTTTCTCTTGATTCTTTGTCTTACAGCGGTAAATGGACCATCAGGCATACCATTCTGGGGTAAGAATGAAACTTATTTCATGCTATTAGAGTAAGCTTATACATTTTTTCGAATAACAATTTTTATAAGAACAATGTTTTACAGCGAACGTCACCAGAACACTTCATCTTTGCTTTTGATAGAAATGAATCTTACTCTCGTAGCAAAATAAAAAGACACAATCCGTAATTTCATTGCGGTGTTCCAGTGCCCATGTTACTTGCCATTCATCTCACATCGAAAAGCTTTGAGCGAGGAAGTATAACTTAAGCCATGCTCAGCCTGCAGTCGCATATAAGTGTCGTGTCACGCAACTATTGGAACGTCCGTTTGCGTCGCTAAAGACCACGTGTGTTCACAATTACGTTTTTTTTGCAACAAACTAATAACTGCTCTGTTGAGATATTGCGTCGTTAGTACAATTATAACGTGTTTTGCCTTACTGGGCTTGCTACCCTGCCTTCTTGAAGCAACTTCGAACACGGGTATACAAGAGTGAAAATAGCATCTAATTTGGGTGACAATTAACTAATAAACCAGCTGAAAAAACATCCAAGTAAGTTGTTAGTATCTCTAAGAACCACGTACGGGCACACCGATAGACACCATACGTTGCAGCAAACACTACTAAAGCTTTTGCAGCTCGTGCATTGTGAGTAATCCTAAGCTCTAAAATTGCAACTTCCAGCTATGCGTCCTTCTCCAGCGTCTTGTCGCGGCGCATTTTCAGATGCTGGTCGCACAGCCTGAGCTATTGTCACACTTGCCCAATTGTTTCAACACTGCACAGCACAGACGCTTCCCCACTCATCATTGTTGTAAGACACAGGCACTCAAAGCAATAAACACGAGCAAAACGACTGCACAGACACGTCATTGCATGACTATCAAGATGTGCACGAGGACGCGGAATGTGGGAAATCCGGAAGACCTTCGAGCTGAATGTGAAAATGAAAGCTACTTCACCCATTGTCCATGCGTAGTGGAGGCATTTGCAGTTGTCGTAAAAGTCGCGGGTCAGCCAAGATTTAGACCCCCACCATTCAGTATATACCTCTAAATGCAACGTCTGAACAAGCTCAATACACTGTTTTTTACGCTTATGATCTTTACCGACGATCCGTGCTTAGCGCATGTCGTCTGAGTGCTTTTTAGACAACAGCTATGAAGGTTGACGTGAACGAAATAGCTGCCGTTACGTTGAAAGCTTTGCGCTACTGTTCTAGTATCGTTCGATATGACGCAATTTAATAAATGGGGAAGGCTGTCCAGGTCTTATCTCTTTTGCCTTGTCAGTGCAGGCGCTCACTTCTCAATGAGAACCCTTGGCCAGGCTTAGATTTAGAACTTGTTCTGGTGCGACATCACCTATGGAGCACGATTGCTTGGGCCAAGTAACGTCGGAGCGCGCTCCAAAGGCTACATGGTAGATGCGTCGTCCCTCTACTATGTATCAGATTTGAAAGATTTGTTCATTCGCGCTCTCTCTGTTTTGACTCAAAGCTGTTCCGCCGCTCACTTACAGTGTTCATGGGGTACATCTTAAAGCCGGCACATGCAGTAGCGTCGCAGTGACACCTCCCCGTTGTTGGCGGACATAGCACCTTGAACGAATACATGCCTTCTTATATTGCTACGCTACTTTGAGACAATACGACCGCAACTTTGATTGATATGTGGGGTTTAACGTCCCAAAACCACGATATGATTATGAGAGACGCCACGATGGCAACTTTAGTGACCATGATAAATACAAGAATCCGCCTTCCGCATCTTAACAAATCTATATGAAACATTTGCTGATAATTACGGTAAAGCCTCGTACAAACTATCGGCGCAGCTTTGTAGATGTTCTCTTTTTCCGAAAAAACCGAGAAAATTAATTCGAGAGAGACATTTTCCGCACAAAATCCACCGTAAGTGGACGTTGTAGAGACAACGTAAATATCAAATAGTAAATATCAAATAGATTTTATTCTGTGTGCATTTTCGGTCATTGTACAGGATGTGGAAGTACTTCACGAGATCCGATGCAGTGACCATAGATTGGTAATAAATCAAATTCACCTGAACCTAAAAAAGCTAAGGCATAAACTTATATACAAGAAGTGAATTACTAATACTAAGCTAGCGTTGAGGGGGAAAGCACAGGAATTCAGTTTCGCGTTAGAATAGATTCGCAGCTCTAAATGAGGTAACTGAGGTTAGCGTGGACACGACGAACAACAATCTGACAAGTGTCACCAAAGAGTGAGCAATAAAAGTCGTTGGTTCATTCATAAGACAGGATATTGACAAATCATCCCAGAAGAAAAAAACCATTAAGAGACGACAAACCATGAAAGCGTCCAATGCAACAGACAAAATATAGGTAATAGAGTTTTCGGAGTTATTCAATAGGCATAAGGTAGCAGAAGTAAAAAGGTATAACAATTGGGTAATTCAGCATGCGGTAGAAAACAGAAGCTTGAAAGTTGCGACGGCAAGCTTGTACATAGGCAAAATCAGATGTATACATTAAAGGACGAGGAAGGCAAAGTCAAAACCAACATGAATAGGATAGTTGAGACGGTGAATTAGTTTCACACAGAGCTATACAGAATCCAAAACTACCAAGTTGATATTGTAAGAATCAATAATAGCCCACAAGACTTTGATATCTTACCAATATCGACAGGGAAAGTAATGAAAGCCTTGAAAGAAATGCAAACAGGCAAAGCCACTGGTGAGGATCACGCGACAAAGAACCTGCTGAAAAATGGCGGGGAGAGTGTGTTGAAGAAAACTCGCCTTCCTATATAAGAAGTGTCTCGTAAAGGGGCATGTGGTTAAGGTGCCGATCAACGTAGCCAACACCGAGCAGTGTCGGTCGCAGAAAGTGCCCAACAAGGCTGCCTTCGACGTACATGTCATGCGCCGGCTGGTTATCAAGCTTTCCTACAGAAATGATATGACCAAAAAACTCCCTGTGCTCCTACCACCAAGCTTCTCTAACTTTGTTCGCTTTGTGGATATTGCGGTTATTTTTATGTGACTCGCGCCACATGTACAGTGCATTGATGTGCTTCAGGTATGTTCATAACCTTCAAGCTTGGCTGTGTAGTAAAGTTGCTCTCCCCTTTAGACATTGGTCTTCGGAGCAGTCGTGCCCGGCTTCTAATCCGGCCCCACAGAAAACATATTTTGTTTATTTTGTGACCTATATTATTCGGGGATGATACATTATGGAAATATCTTACATAATAAATAAATAGGTGGCTGGACGAACGCACTCGCTTTTGTGAGTGAGCCAGCGTAAAAACCGTGACTGTTTTCATTTAAACAATGCTATAAGAGAATGGCATGATATCTTCTGTAATTGATTGTAACATGCGTCTGAGATCAATGCCTTTCAATGTGCATAAATAAAGACAACTTGTAGATGTTTGCGGTAGCAAAAATAATTGTTAATAAAAACAGCTCTGAGACCAGTAAAAAAGTTGCTAACATTGATATGTAATACCATCAACTAATATCTTTAATCAAAGTAAAAATTGACCTGATTATTAGCCGGCCACACAATAAAGGAGGACGAACTAGCAGCGTGAGCAACAGTTTGCGGCTCTCCGAGGAAGACGACGCTGGGGCTTCTGCTTTTGTGTTCTTGTGTCTGAATACAGCCTTGCCTATTCTCGTCGCAGATAAGTCTTGCTTCTTGTGGTTTCTACGTTGCGACACTCCCGCCAACCGACACTTGATGCCCGACACCACAACCCGTTCCTGCAGTGGATACCACTGTTCACCATTACAGTCGCGGACGACGTGGCCTTAGTCCCGAGGCCATTTCCCTGAAAATATCCTAGCAATGCACTTTACTTGGAGAAAGGGCCACTGGAGGTGCTTCACAGCTAACTGTTGAGCAGCCTCAGATTCACGATACTTCTCATGGTGCAGTTTATGAAGACGTCGGGGACTCGTTAGCCCCGGTATGAGCGAGTCGCTAAAGTGAAGTGGTGGACTGTCCAACAAAACCTTTCATGCGCCTACTTTTCTTCGATGAACAGTGCTCGTACGTGGTACGAGAACCACGAAAAAACGCTGTCTTCATTGGATGAATTTCTGCAGCAACTTCTCAGCACCTATGGAAACAATGATCACCCTGCTCAGCAACACATTGAGTAACCCATCCAGAAACCTAATCAGAGTGTCACCATCTTAGTGGAGGACATGAATCGCCTATTTCAACCAGCTGACTCTGAGATGCCTGAAGCCAAGTAACTCACACATTTCATGCGAGGCGTGAAAGAACAGCGTTTTCTACGTCTTCTTCGCAACCTTTTGACAACCCTTGCGAAATTCATCAGAGGCTATAACTGCAAGTGAGGGTTCTCTGTGGGAGCTCATTCATGAGGTTGTTCATGAGGAGATCCGCAGTCTCCTCGTGACTCCGCGAGAACCTGCAATGATTTTAAGTTGTGCGGCAGGATATCTGACAAGTATTTACGTTTCCCGAATTCCTACCAGACCAGTGATATATAAACCAAGCGTCGGCTGATCGTCGTCCAACGCCAGTGTCACAACCCTCATCTTCACTGGTTCATTCTTACAAGCCGGTGAAGCCAGTGTAATACTCCTGCTGCCGCCGCAGACAACGCCGACTCCACAATATAATGTGCATGCGAAAACATCGCCATTCAACCCTCCACCAACACCTGCAACTTGTTTGCCAAGGATGGCTCCGCAGTCGACCATTGGCTCGTAAGACGGACTGGTGGTGCACCGTCGATCACCATCCACTTTGTTTCAATTCTGGAGAGGCCGGCAATGCTTACGCATCTCCATGTATCGTGAACAAAGATATTCGACTTGTCCACTGACCCTTCGGCAAGCTCATTTTGACAACCGACACGACAGCGCGCATCTACAAGCACAGCTATTCTCCCGATATTGTTGATCTCACTCACTATAACCTGCGCTGAACTCTTCGCCGCGCCGTCATAGGTACGCTGATGCTCTCCGGGTCAAGCACCCCAGCCTTCGT